CTATCTATCTATCTATCTATCTATCTATCTATCTATCTATGTTAACATGTATGTTGATATGGTTACAACCGAGAGTACATCGAGAAATTCTCAACATAGTTTCTGTTTTTTTTTTTTTTAAATAAAGCTGTCTTAAGTATTTACGTTCTTGTTTGCGAAAACATGTGTAGTCTTCAAGGAGTTTGCCTTTATATAATTAAAAGTACAAACAAAATCGAATAGAGATAGTTGGAGTGCTGCAAAATTTACAGCTCTGCGGAGTACACTACGCGTGGAAATTTATACTTACTGTAAGTAGTCTTTGTCAATACTCGACAGGAAGCATACGCAGGTTGCTACTTGGACTGCAGCAATACCAACAGTAAACTAGAATGAAAATCCAGAGCATCCCCGAGTAAAACACGGTATTAGTCTAAACTCCTACAGGAGAGAGATACTCTTACACATACACACTGTCGGAAATACAGAGTTTAAGCGGAGATGATCAAATCATCGTACTTACACCCTTCAATTTAATTAACCCTGTTTCAAATTAATCACGCATCCATGGTTTAGTAACGTCACAAAAGTTGATTTTCGAATTAATCACGCATCCATGGTTTAGTAACGTCACAAAGTTGGGATCTTTATCGATTCTCACCATTCTTTTAACAAGACCTGTTTTTAATATATCGCGATGGGCCCTTTACTTAAGTGTGCTTGATACGAAATTCGAACTGGTAGTTTTTCTTACCATTTTATGTCTCCTTTTTTTTTAATGTCTCCACTCGGGATTCCGCCAGTAAAGCTCAAAGTTAAGCTTTTCCGGGTTCAGCTATATTTTTTTCATTGTACGTCGCATACCCGTCAGGACACGTGTGCTTTCGTCTTTCGAAGGCACAAAACCTAGACGGGTTTGTGTGTACTTTGCATTGATCCGCCTTGATAACATTGAAATCCCGCGCTATTTCTACCCAGCTCACATCATCTAGAATTTGTAAGAAACATAAAGAGTCGCTTAATCCAGTACAATTACAAACTCAAAAAAATCGCACCAGGTATTAATCAGCGCACTGGTCAATGATAGTAAGGGTCAATGCCAGTTCGGAGTCAGTCCAGACAGGGCATAATTCTCTTTGTATATTTGGTTCTAAGATAGAAAAGCCGTGTTTTACATGGAGAAGCTCTGGATTTTACATAACTGCTGCCTTTGTACAGGATGGTTGCTACATAATTCGCTTTTCAGATATACGGGCGCGTTGTTCTGGCAGTACATACGCAAATGTACTGTGCGAGTCGCAAAGAGGGATATCGGTGGTAGACTTTCGTATCAGGAAAACATAGTACATGTAGAAAACTTTTTTTTAGCTTTGTGTGACGAATCGAGTTAGATTAAACTACCTCGTCTAAATTAGATAGAGCGGTAAAAGCCGCCTCGAGCGTCTATTGAGCAACATAACGGAATTACAGACGACCCCCTCGGTAGTCATAGCGGCATGAGCCCTCAATTTATTCCTGTCTAAGGGCGGGTCTTAACCACGTCATGCCATGCCATGGCACGAAACTAGGCATTCTGATTGGCCAGTATAATTCAAGTTTAGGTCATTCGCGCCATCAATGACAATTTCGTAGTGCCACCAAACGTGCCACCAAACGTGCCATTGCCATCTTGTCAGTGCTTCCATTACTGTTAAATTTCGAAAACATGGAGACCAAGATTGCATGCGTCACGATGATACCGCTCTTACTTCTTCTCATTAGCGTTCTCCCTATCGACACGCGCCAGAAGTGCCTTCACCGTGTGCGCATAGACTGGGACCAATTCTCACAACGTCTAATTGACGAAGAGCAATTCCACAAGTGCTACAAGATGTCGTACTCGTCTTTCATGGCGCTCGCAGAAAAGCTCGAGCCGTATCTGCTGGTGGACGAACGGCAATCGCGTAATTCGGACGGGCACAGAGCCGATAACGCATGTCAATAAGCTCCAGATGTGCTTGCGCTGGCTAGGTTGGGGATCTCATCATGATGTGCGATCTAACAGTGGTGTAAGTGTTGCTGCGTTTTACGCCTCAATTCATCAAATCGTGGATGGGATAATAGCTCATCCCGAGCTACAGTTTGAGTTTCCTACTTCTGAGCCGGCCCAACGTCATGCTGCCAAGGCGTTTGAGCGACTAAGTAACTCTTGTACCATAAAAGGATGTGTTGGCGCTGTCGATGGGTGGCTTTGTCCTATCCGAGTCCCACAGAAAAAAAGAGGTTTCCAGGGTGCGATCGTTCTTCTCTGGCCATTATCAGCGGTACGGTGTAAACGTTCAAGCTTGTTGTTATCATCTAAGTCGGTTTACCGCCGTAACGTGCTCAAGTCCTGGTGGAACTGGTGACGCAGTGGCATTTTTAAAGTGGAGATTATCAGCGATTGTCAAGGACCTCCCCAAAGGACTTTACATAGTCGGTGACAACGTATACACGAACACAAACCAGCTATTGACTCCATTTCCAAGGCCTCGGATCATTTCTTCTGCTCATGACAGCTAGAACTTTCACCTTAGTCAGCTTTGGATTAGGATCGAAATGGCTTTCGGTCTACTAGTTTGTAAGTGGCGTGTGTTCAAGGCACCTTTCGAAATTAGCTTTACGAGAGTGCCTCGTACGATTTTAGCAGCTTGTATTTTACACAATTGGTGTATCAATCACCGTCTTCGCGACAATCAAAGCTACAGAGTTGAAGACGATGAAGATATGGTTAAAGTCGTTGAATCAACCCGCTTGGCAGGGGACAAATCTGTTAATTTTTCAGTTGAACCTCAAGATTCTTCACGTTATGGTCGCCTGTACGATGCTTCTGACCTGGCGGTTGACACTGACACGTATAACAGCTCGGAATGGGTTCGTGATGCCATCGTTGGATTAGTTCACAATATTTCTCGCCCACAACACAATAGGATTAGACGAGCACAAGAAGAGAAGGAGAACGAAGAGATATCCAAGCTCAACCTTGATGATTGCAGCGCTTAATCCAGACTAAAACAAATAACGATGAGATACATAAATCAAAACTCGGTTCGAGATTTCCACCGGTACGACGAGGATCTAATCCAAATCTGCAAGGCTGCTTTCGTAGTACTGCAAACGCTGCTGGTATAAGTCGACGCTTTTAGCTAGTGAGGAGTCTGAAAGCCCGCTTAGCTCCATCTTCCGTTGGCTTTCTTTTACCTGGTCGATCATTTGCTGCACCATCGCAATTGGCCCCAGCAGTAAATCTTTATCAAGGGCCATGCGTGAAATGCGACTCGTTGAGAGAGCTACAGCCGTTGTGGACTCTTTGTGAAGATGTCGACCATGCGATTGATTGTCGTGAGCACTCTTGGTCTTTCCACTTCGATGATTTTATCTGAGCAACAGGTTTGTGAGCGAGTCGATTTCGTCTCCTTCGTGCTTGCCACCACTGACAAAATCCATCAGCTCTGGTTTCGCCCCCGTGCACACTCGAAGATAGAGGACCTCTAAATTCGCGTTGCAAAAATCGTTGAACTCGTTGGAGCTTTGTCCGGACACATTGAATCTAGCTAACGCCTTCACAAACTTGCCGTTCACCGATTTCCACATGTCGTAGAGCTTTGCTGTGTTGAGCTCTACAGTCACCGAAGGATTAATACATCCGTAGCGAGGGTCATTTGCTGCTTCAGCGAAAAGTTCATTGAAGTCAGTCGTATTGGTGCGATACACAACACCTACTTCCTTCCAGAACGCGGTTTTTTGGTTCACTTCCCCGGCATCGATTTGGTCACGGGTCGCTGTATCGTCCGACGAAGCAAGTTTCTCCGCAAAGTGATCCGAGGAAAGAATATTGAGGAGACGAATCATGCAGTGTTTTGTTTTGCGGAGGCTGGGCTCCAACAGATACTCTTCGTCCACTGAAGACTGGACAGCTCTGTGTGCAGCATAGCTATCAGATCATTGCTTGTAGCGGAACCAAAGGAATTCATTGAGCCCATAAATCTAGCGTTTTTGGACAAGTTAGGGATGTGATCATGGCGCTAGCATAATCGTACAGCAGTCGTTGAGTGTTGGTGAATGTGTGTCGAACTGGTGGGGCTGGAGAGGAGGGGTATCTTTGTGGAATGAGGCCAAACTGGCAATAGAAGAGCCAAGAGATGAAATGCCAGTAAGGAGCTACATTAATCGTCTCCATTAGTAATGTTTGTGCACTGTTTCAAACTAAGTGTACTCGGATCCATTTTTGTGGTACATTCATGGGTAAGAATACGCTCAGGGCGGGTCGTAACCAGTACCATGCCATGTCATTTTACCTGGCTGTCGTGGCTCCGTGGCAATATTTCGTAAAAAAAAATGAATTTTGCGAAATGGGTGCCATAAAGTGAAATTTGACTCAAAAGAAATATTACGCGATGAGCCGGAAGCGAAAGGCAGGCGTGCGCGGCACACTCGGAGCCCGCAAACTCGCGGCGGTTACACCTCTAGCTACAACAAGCTCTTCGGCATAATCATCGTCGACTGCTGGTGAGGTCACCTCTTCGTCTTTGTGTCCTGTTGTAGACGCCGCGTCTTTGGAGCAGTCGCTGCTTCCGGTGTCGGCTACTTCGGTCCATCTAGATCATGGGCCACAAGCAACAGGTGCGCCGCAGATCTTTTCGAAACCATCAACGTAGTGATTAGATCCGAGTCCGAGAGTGATGCTGCTGCTGATTTTCGTGACAATGTGGCCGTTGCTGGCACCAAAGAAGCCGTGGTTGGTACCAGAGTTGAGCATAGGGTTAATTTGACTGTTCGTAAACCTGCTGCCAACATGCAACGACTACGACCAGTGGACAGACGTTCAGCTTCGAAAAGAGTGTACTGAAAGGAAGTTTCGGCTTGGAAGAAAAGTGAATAGACCAGAGCACATCAGACGGTCAGGGCGTATGATTAATGCGCAAAATTCGCTGGAGTCACCTCCGGTCTCGCAGTTGGCCACAAATTGCGGCACTTGGTGCACCATCATAAACTCGACAGGAATGATGTCATAGTCACGGATGAGGCAATTAGACTGAAGGAAAGATGGCTTCACCGCGATCCTAAAGCTGAGTTACGTCCAATAGTAAAAAGGATAGGTTACATTTGGATCAGACGAGGCTGCGATAATGCTCTTGTGCAGTTATGCCTGTTTTAATAGTTAAGCATCCCGCAACAGGAAAATTGGACTTCACCATGGGATAGTATAATCGTAAACATAGCATGTCCCAGTTAAAAACGTCTCATTCCCAAATAGACCAAAACAACAGACTTGATGTCCTATTGGCATTGTTGGTCTTCCAAAACTATCTCAAACACAAGCACAAGATGCGCACAGCTGGATATACATGCACAGCCCGTGTCCGGTCCACTCTTTGGTCAGACGATAAAAGACGTTTGAGCAACGTTTGTATTTGAGTCGTGTGTGAGTAAGCAAGATACAAACTATAGAAAGGGCGGTCTAAGAAGACGAAAGGGGAGATGATTCGTACCTCGATAGCTGCATGCGCACCATGGATCGGCTTACCTAATCGCATAGGTATGACGGAGGTTATAGAGATGTTGCATATTGTCGAAGCTAGTATGCCTTTTGTGGTGATCAATGGCAAACAGTAGAATCATTATACAATGCGGATTTGCCTGTGGGGTGAGCACCACATAGCGAAAATATCCTCAAACCTTAGTTCATCAACAAAATAAAGCGTAATCCTACCGGGAATCCAGGCTGTCTTGAAGAGATGCTCAAGGCAAACGCCTATTCAAGGTGGCTAAGCCGTTGGGTGCAGTTGCCACATTACACGGCGATGCCTCAGAGGTAGGTGACACAGATGGATATGCTGTAGTGACTGTAGTGTGGGCCTTGTATGTAATCGCTGAAGTGGCTACATTCAAGTTACTCAAGCCACGAACGCTCTGTCATGCGACAAGTGATGACCACACGCATGGAGCCTTTTGTAAGGGTTGTTTCTGCATAGACGATTCAAAGAAGTACTATGTCCAAGAGCCAGCCTTTAGTTATCTTCAAAACACATAAGTTAACGGTGTGAAGTAATGATTGATGTCATTTTAATGCAAGTATTGCTAATCTTTGAATGAACAGATTGGCTGCACGCCATTAACGCCACAGGCATTCTCTGTTTCGGATTCGACGAACCCTTGTTTGGGCCGCCATTAGCATATGCAGGATCGTAGAACACTTTAATTTACTACAGACAACTTTCGGTTTCATCGCCTTTCGATCCTGAGAAGTGAAGATTATGTCTAACCAACAATTACCAGTTGTACAACGTCCGCGTTTGCACCTCCAAAAAACAAGAATAAAAAATCAAGTATGATAAAGAGCGAGAGTAAATTATATAGAATACGAATTGGTTTGGCTTTGAGCACGGAGCTATTATGATACCCCATGACCAGGCCGTTGGTCGTCTGTGGAAGCGTATAGTCGTCGCTGGAGGCTTGAATACATCGTTGATCCACACATCATGGTCACGAACATCATTGGGAACTGCCGGTTCTGTGTCTCTCGCAAGTGTGGTGTAGTGATTTCAAAGTAATCGCTGAAGTGGCTACATTCAAGTTGCTCAACCCACGAACTCTCGGTCATGCGACAGGGGGTGACCACGGCGCAAGATGGCCAAGGATACGTCACTACCGAACGCTCG